CCCGCCACCTTAGGTGTACGTGGCTGGCGCCTTAGCCAGTTGAGCTATAGGCGCCGAGCCATCTTTTTCTTTTTTAATAGAGACAGTGTTTCACACCATCTTCCAGGCTAGAGTATAGTGGCACAAACACAGTTCACTGCAACCTTGAACTCCTGGGCTCAAGCAATCCTTCTGCCTCAACGTCCTGAGTAGCTGGGACTACAGGTGCTCACCACCATACCTGGCTAATTTTTCTTATTTTTTATAGAGATAAGGCTAGGCCGGACTCAAACTCCTGGCCTCAAGTAATCTTTCTACCTTGGCCTCCCAAAGTGCTGGGAATACAGGCATGAGTCACTGTACCCAGCCTCTTTGTTTAAATTTATTTTTTTATTTTTGAACAGACAAGGTCTTACTCTGTCACTCAAGTTTGAGTACAGTGGCATGAGCATGGCTCATTGTAACCTTGAACTTCTAGACTCTGATCCTCTGACCTCAGCATTCCAAGTAGCTAGGACTGCAGGCTCATGCCATCTTCCCTGGCTAATTTTTAAAAATTTTTTTAGTGATGGGGCTCTGCTATGTTTCCTGGGCAAGTCTTGAATTCCTAAGCTCAAGTAATCCTCTGGCTTTAGCCTCTTAAAGTGTTGGGATTACAGGCATGAGTCACAATACCCAGTCTGTATCTTGTTTACTTCTTACTTTTACATGTATACCATGAAATTCTATAACATATTGGTATTAGTATTTCTTTCTTTCTTTCTTTCTTTCTTTTTTTTTGGAGACCGAGTCTTACTGTGTCACCTTCTGTAGAGTGTTGTGGTAACACAGCTTACAGCAACCTCAAACTTCAGGGCTCAAGCAATTTTCTTGCCCTAGCCTCCCAAGTAGCTGGGACTACAGCGCCTGGTTATTTTTTGTTGCAGTTGTCATTGTTGCCTAGCTGGCCCGGCCCTGGCTTAAACGCACCAGCCTTGGTGTTTGTGGCTGGTGCTGCAACCACTGTGCTACGGGCACCAAGCCAGCATTAGTATTTCTTACGTAAATTTTCAGAAGAGGGAACATAAGTCATCTTGATAAAAAGTTTCATGAAATCTTTTCTCAAAAGATTTTTATCTTTTTGGGTTAACTTTAGATGCAAGAAAGATTATCTTTATATTTTTATAAGTATAATTGTTTTGCCAATTGTTTTTCTTGACCATTGTAAATTCTACCCATCTGCACTGATTAATGAATAGGATTACAGATCTAAATAAAGTTATAGATACCTTACGTCAAGAGACTTGTAACTCATAAATGAAATTGCTTAAACATTTCTCACATATTCTTACTCCCAAATTTAATCTAAGGGAATTTGAAAACCTGCATAACTAAAATGAAGATATTCAGAGACAGTTAATGAGAAGGTGAGATGAAGAACAAAAGGAACAGAGTTGGTGATGGAAAAAGGAAGATGTGAATAGGACAGAGTAGAGGCTGGTAGTGTTTGTGAAAGGTCTTAGAGGAAAGAAAGAGTAACCAAATGTAGTAAGAAAAAGAAACAAAGTCATATGGGAAAGATTTATAAAAAGTAAGAGTATAACAAAATGAATCTCAGAAAGTATCCATGGCAGGAAAAAAAATACTTTAAAATAATATAAAGCCCGATAAACAAAACTAAAAAGCTTTTAGAATAAAATGAAATTTGTAGTATGTTAAAGACATCAGATTTTAAGTCAATTCAACCTATGAATTTCCTTTTTTTTTTTTAGTGAAACTGAGTCTTACTCTGTTGCCTCAGGCTAGAGTACAAGGAGTCAGCCTTAGTTCACAGCAACCTTAAACTACTGGATTGAAGTGATCCTCATGCCTTAGCCTCCCAAGTAGCTGGGACTACAGGTGCCCACCAACAATGCCTGGATAATTTTTTTCTATTTTTAGTAGAGACAAGGTCTTGCTCTTGCTCAGGCTGGTTTTGAATTCCTGAGTTCAAAGGATCCTACTGCCTTGGCCTCCCAGAGTACTAGGATTACAGGCATGAATCACCTGTCCTGGCCCAAACCTACATATTTCTTAAAAGGTATCTTTTGCATGTCTTTTTAAGTTAGCAAAAATAAACTATTTCAATTATTTTTCATTTCAATTACTCTCCCCCCTATTTACACTGATATGGGTTGCAGGGGGAAACAAATGTGAGGTTATATGGCCAGCCCTGCAAGGGAATATTTAACCTTTTCAAGTAGAGAATGGTTGAGGATTCCTTCAATGTGAAATGGCTCAATCTTACTAAAAACTCATTTTTTCTTTTTTTAAGAGAGTCTTACTTTGTCACTTTGTCGCCCTTGGTACAGTACTGCGGTGTCACAGCTCACAGCAACCTCTAGCTCTTGGGCTTAGGCGATTCTCTTGCCTCGGACTCCCAAGTAGCTGGGACTATAACTGTCCACCACAACCCCTGGCTATTTTTAGTTGCAGTTTGGCCAGGGCTGTGTTCGAACCTGCCACCCTCAGTATATGGGGCCAGCACTCTAGTCATTGAGCCACAGGCACCGCCCTAAAAACGCATATTCTAACGTAGAATAATGGTCCATGGGTTGCTTTATTGCCAAAATGAGATCACTTCTTAATATATATTTCAGGAATATGAAAATGCAACAAAAGAGGAAAATTGTAATCCTGAAGTCTGGGTGAACTTAGCTTGTACCTACTTCTTTCTTGGGATGTATAAACAAGCTGAAGCAGCTGGATTTAAAGGTAAAATGGACTCTCTTCGTACACGCATCTGATATTCTTCACTTGTAGTAAGAGTCATTTTGGAAATTTAAAATGTATTCCCCTTCCTTTCCTTCCTTTCCTTCCTTCCTTCCCTTCCCTCCCTTCCCTCCCTCCCTCCCTCCCTCCCTCTCTCTCTCTCTCTTTTCTTTCTTTCTTTCTTTCTTTCTTTCCTTCTTTCCTTCC